GAACCTCACAGACCCACATCACGCTGCAACGAGGGTCTGCACTGCACAGACTGTACACACTGCTGACGTTTCTTCCAAACTGGCTTTGGGAGAAGAGAGGCATTGCTATTAAGGGATCCACGACACTTCCTATCAACAATGGGTATTTATTCAACTTGTGCAGCTCTGTCTACACCAGCAAGTGTTGGGACAGTAAAATATACGCACAAAATTTGTCAGAACAGCTACTAGCAAGGACATAGCTCGGTGCACAATCCCTTCAACCAGTTTTTTGCTCGTGCTGGCTGTTCTGAAATCCAGCAGCGCTTACACGCACCTGGGAGAAGCACCGCAGTGATGCTCCCATCTGCTCTCTCTCTGCAGGTAGTTTTGTGGGACAGACCATACTGTCCTGCACCATCTTTGCTGCCCCGTATCCTTTCCCTTGTTTTTTTCTTTTTTCCCTTTGCCTTAAGAGAAAAGCCCAGCGACACCTGGCCTGTCGTGTCCCCAGCACCCTGTTCTGCATCTGACAGTCAGGGCGTCAGGGAGAAGCAAGGCAAACTCCTGAGCACTGCTGGAGTTTCGATTCTGGCTGGCAGCAAAACACCACAACAGCTGCTCGCTCACCCTCTCTCCTCCCAGGAATGGGGGAGAGAATTAAAGGCGTGAAGGGAAAAGAGACTCCTGGGTTGGTAAGAACAGTTTAAAAACTACACTACAATAAAATTGAAAATAATGATAATAATGATAATAGTACTAAATACAAATATACAAATGAGTGATACACGGTGACACTGCTCACCACCCAGCGACCAAGGCTCAGCCTGTTCCTGGCTAACGATCCCGGAGCAGGGAGAGTCCTGAAACCACAATCCCAGAATGAAGGTAAGAGCCCGAGTGTCCGAGATGGAGAGCTGACCGAGAAAGCAAGACTACACAGAGAGAGAGGCCACCCAGAGTGAGACACAACCCGGACAGAAAGAGCAAATCCAGACAGAGCCTCACCCATACCCTGGCCATGCCATGCATGGGATGGAACAGACCATCGGCCAGTTTGGGTCTCAGTCCCAAACCTGAGGTCGAATCCTGGGCTGGTCACTGGGGCTGTGCTCCCTCCCAGCTCCTCCTGCCCCTGCAGACACGGGCACAGCAGAGAAGCTGGAAAGTTTTTCAGCTCTGCCCATCAGTGTGTGATCAGCTTCTCCTCAGCACAAACCCAACAGCCTCACACCAGCTGCTGGGAACAAGGTTAACTCCATCCCAGCCCACACCAGGGCAGCACCCACACGGGGGCAAGGACTCTGCCTCCTCGTGACAGCTCCCAGTTAACACAGGGGCTCACAGAGGGGTTCCACATCCCTCCGAC